AGGAATGCTGGGGGGTCTGATGGGGCACCGAGGCCTGCTGACAGAGTGTGAGTTAACGCTTGTTCAAACACACACTGGCAGATGTCTTGCCCCAGTACAGCAAGAGAGGTCTCCATCTGCTCAGTGTCCTTCTAAGGTCCCCTGTTAGTCTCGGCTGGGAAGGACATGCTGGAGAGACTCCTCACTAACAGCTTTTGAGGAGAGATACTTCCTAAACCACACAGGGCAGCCTGGTAACCATCCTCCTCATCATCCTAGTTTCCCTTGGGGAAGATGCTGACCTTGGGGAAAATCCCTGACCTAGAGCAAAGTGGACTCACACACCCTGCTAAATACTTTAACAAGGCCAATCATCTGCAAGTGTGAGGACTTGGAGGAAGCAACAAAGACACTCGGGTCCTGAGGAGTCTCCTAGAAATGCCTGGTCCAAGTGCTGAACACAGCCTGGCTGGTGCAACGCTGCTGTAGCCAGGCAGGACTCTTACCATTCAGCAGGGCCACTGAGAACGGCAGCGTGCCCAAGGCAGAGAGCTGGCCCCCGGCCGGAGCTGCCATCACTGGAGTCGCGTGGCCTCCCCTAGGAGAGATGCCTCATTAGCAGAGAGCTTATATCACATCCCTGCTCCGTGTCTCTGGCCAGCTAAGGCAAAGAGACCTACTTGGTGCCTCCTCAAGACCCCTTTCCAGCTATCTCGGCTTCCCTGCCCACCCCAAAGGGTATCTTGGGGCCTTCCCTCTCCTCTGTCGCATCCTAGAGACAGGGCCTCACAGCAGGGCAGTTCTCCACATGCCCAGTACAGAGGTCTCAGCTGCTGCCCAGGTGGCACTGGTACTAGGACGAGGCACCTGGGAGCCAGGCAGCCCAGGCTCAGTGCCAAGGGCCTGCTAACTTACCCACGGCCAGTGCAGCTGATCCTCTCGACAAACGGGCTGGAGTAGTATCCGCCCCTGCTGTAGAGGGGCCAGTATCGCAAGTCAGCAAAGTGTTCCACCATGTCCCCAGACACCTGCAGGCAGCAGGGATGGCAAAGGGTCAGCACATCCCTCTGCTTTCCCTTCCTGCCAGATGGGTTTCACCACTGCATGGATGCATCCCCCCAGGGCAGCATCCCAGCATGGCTTATCCCCCACCAAACTGGTAGCTTGGGACCAACTGGCATGCACACCAGCCACCTGCACGTCCTACAAACTCATCCTGAACCATCTAGGGCTTGTCCTTCTTCAGCATACAGTCTGTGGGCCTAGGCTGGTGGCCCCATCATGAGCCCAAACCACAAAGGGTTTCATCTGGGGTCAGGACAGACAGAGGCTCCACAGCCAGAGGAACATCTTCTCCAGCCCTTCTGAGAGCATTTCTCCTTGACCCCCAGAGAGCACAGCCACTTCAGGGGCATCTCAGCAGCCCCACACTTCACTCACCAAAGGGTCCTGACTCACCAAACGGGAGAAGCCACAGTCCTTCATCTCATACTGGAAGTGCAGGAGACCCTGCTGGCCATCGATGGCAGAGGGGGGGCAGCTGCCCAGGTGCAGCGACTGTGGGTCCAGCATGAGCCCGTGCCCCTGGGGGTCCCACCGCACAGCCAGGTGAATGCTGGCTCCATTGCACCTATAGGAGACTGAGCCAGTGGGCGCTGGGAGGAAGAGAGCACAGTGACACATATGGCTCTAGAGATGCTCCCAGTAACCTGCTGCCCCTCCCCAGCATCTCCAGGCACTGGATTTTCTGAGCTTGATAGACACCTCAAAACAGGGGACAGAAGAAAGGGGGCCAGGGGGGAGAGACCAGCCCAAGGGAGGCAAGAGGTGTGCCAAACAGGGAGTAGGGTTTGCCCAATACCCCTTGGGGCCACAAACCACCCAGGGCACAGTGAGACCTTGGACCCCTCC